CGGGGGGGGGAGGAGGAGGAGGAGGAGACGCTCCCCCCCACCCCCCACGCGAGCGGCTCCCCGCGCTTCCCCGGTGGACGCCCATCGGCCGCTCGCTCGCCTCCCTCTGTGTAACGGGGGGGAGAGAGGGATGATGACTGCTCCCCCCTCCTCACCCCCCCCCCCAAAGAGCTCAGCCTTTCTCACCTTTTCGCGGAATGTGACCGGGTACCCTCTCTTTCAACACCTGTTCCTTTGAAGTTTGAGGGGGGAGGAGGGGAGTATAAATTGCATTTTTTCCTCCTGGAGTAGAACTGCTCCTTCCTATTCATCTTCCTTTTAATACCGTAGATTGCTTTGTCACAGGTGAGTGTGAGTGCTGCTGTTACTTCACTGGCTTAGGGGCACCCAAAGCACCCTGCTAAATAACAGGTTCTAAATGACTGGGTGCTGAGGGAGAAAAGTGGACCCTACCCTTCTTTGGCGCTAGGTACCACCCGCTCACTGAACCATGACCATCTCTCATCCATCTGGTCATCCTCCATTGGTTCAACCCCATTTCTGCCATGGTGTCTCTGCCCCATAACCATGTCTTGTGGCATGTTCTGTGCACACCCCTCCAGCTTCCTTTACCTTCTCTGAGCCTGGTTTGCTAGAGGGGTGGTTCTGTTTCTCCTGCCCTCTGCGTCCCCTGCTCTCAACGTATCCTAGTCCTCATCTTTTGTACCTGCTACCCTCCTTCCCCTGCTGCCTTGCCTCTCTGTAACCCAGAGCGTGCGCTCTCCCCGTCTGCTTTGTCACCAAATACTTCATCAGGCTGGTTTGCCCAAGGCCCTTAATTCTTCAGGCCCATTTTCTCTCCCACCTTTCCAACCTTGCAGAAGCTTCCAGCATTCTGGTTGTTCAGCAGCTGCTCCCAGAGATTCTCACAGTCACAGCTGAATCTTTGACTCCCAGGTCACTCCCTTATCCTAGCTTGTTTATATGCCTTCTTTCCTATCCCCTTATCCTTGAACCCCATCCCTCTGCTTGTTTGTTTTCTCTCTCTGTCCCTGCACCATACAGCCCGGTCTCCCTGCATCATTTGCTCCCAGCCATTCCATAATCTGTTCTCACCTTCCTGCTTTCCACCTCCACATAACCTATTAGTGTTTCTTCCCAGTATTCCTGTAAGCTTTCTCTCCCAGTCCTACAATACACATCTTGTTTTTTCAGCATCTCTTCCACTTATTTATTTCTGCTTCTCTTACTTGACCATCTGCATTTGCTAATGTGTTCTTTCCTGGTGACTTAGCAAGAAATAAGGGTGTAGGAGGTTGTAGTAATAGCAGCTTTCATAAAGGCCCAGAGATAGAAGGATAGTGGGATGGCGAGAGCTTGTATCCTGGGCCAGTCTTTTCCCATGCTTCCATCTTGTTTGTATTCTACTTTTCCTGCCAGTGAAGATGAAAGGAGAATTTGTTGACAAATAAATAAGGCTGAGATTTGAGGTGTTGGATCTTTAAAAGACGGGACCTGTAGTGTTCAAAATAAAGAGATATCTAGCAGTTGTAATCGGATCCTCTGTTAAGAGGCCTGTTTCCCACCCATCTCCCTGCAGTGACTGAGTAAGAGAAAAATCATTGATAGGAGGTGGCTCAGACCTTCAAAACCAGCCGCAGCAAAAATGGGAGGAGATAGTGATGGAAAATGAACGGGAGGGAGCTCAGACTCCACACATTGGGGATTTTGAACCTCATTGATGTTAGTTTGGAGAGGAAATTGTGCTTCTGAAAAATGTTTTGGGTGGATTGGGGAGCAGATTTGATTTTAGAAATGCAGGTATGGGGTTCCTTCCCATCATTGTGCTCGCTCAGAATGCAGGTTTTTTATTGTAACCAATTCTGTGGAGTCTTTCTTTGTACCATCTTGACCTCTATTAAGAAGTTGGGGGTGGCTGACTTGCTTTTGAGAGAGGTTTTTGGGAGTAGTTGTGGGGGAGAGATGCTGCATTCAGTCAGCCTTTGATAACAGCAATGTTCCACCCCCTTTTCTTGGTAGCATCGGTTAAAAAAACCCTCTGTCCTGACAGTGCTGCAGTAGGGCTTGGTGGCTGCAGTTCAGATAATTTTGCCATGGATTTCTTAGCCCGTGAGGGTTTGGCTGCTTGAGCTACACTAGCAGCTTGTGCTGTCTCCCTCCACCCCCCAAAATAATAATAATGCTGAGGTTTAATGACATTAACCTGTTTGCTTATTCAGTTTTCCTGAGATTCTTTCTTGCTCCCATATAGGCATCATTTGTAGACTGTGTTGTGGGGGGAGGGGAAGGAATGATTTGCATGTTCAGAGAGTTATAATTTATTAATGGTTTTTGTGCGATTCAGCTGTGTGTGTGCGTGGGTCAAGGGTGGGGAAAGGCTTTTTAAAAATCCAGAATTTTCCTGTGATAATGGAAGTAGTTCTAGTGCCCCTGAAATATATCAAGATGTTGAACAAAGAAAACAGTTAACACAAAAGCTTTTGCTATAGATACCTGATTTTGTCAGAATGGTTTTGTGTTTTCTCGTTTGGCTTGATCATATTTATGGAAAATGTGTGCAGCCATTGAGCATGGGAGAAACTGGGTGGAGTAAGGCAGAAGCTGTGAAACGGCTGGATTACCCTTTTCATAGCATTTCTCCCCTTCTGCCTGTGTTTTTTCTAGGGTGGAGGGCACAGTAATCGCAGTAACAATGATGTCTGTTCTTTAGGGAGGAGTCTAATGGTGCAGAAATCAAGCAAATTAGTATTGTTTGTTTTTCTCCCTGTAGGGTGGATCTGATTTGTGTAGCACTAAAGTGACCAGTCACTGTTACAAAGCAACAGTTTTTTGTCTGATTATCTTTCTCAGACTGCCATAAATTTTCACTTGTTGACCTTATTTTCTGTAAATCAGTGAGTTTACGGGATGTCTTACATGGGCAATACATGTTACAGGATTTCTGTCTTTATTTGTTCAGACAAGTTGTGGGTAGGTCAGTCTGTAGAGGTGTGTTGCTACCCCAACACTCTGTGCTCCCCCCCCCCAGTAAAATCAAATTAAGGAGGATTGTTCAGCTTTGAATGGATGCATTTAGTCATATGCAAAGATGCTTTCAATAGTGTTTACTGGAGATCTTCCACAAATTTTTGAAAGGCAGCAAACGTGTAGGACAAAGGATGTAGGAAGAACTTGGATGAAATTGTGAACATGATTTCCCCCTTTCTTACACATCTAACAAGGAATGACTCTGTTCGTATTGAAGTTCAAGCTGTTGTGGCAAGTCCATTTTCTCAGGTGAAAATACATAGATTTATATATCAGACACTCATTTGTATTTTGCTGTGTATATTTAAATTGGTCAGTATGCAAATTGTAGGATCTTTGGTGCAAAAATTGCTACTCCAATAATCAACTTGATGTCTCATAGCTGGAATTCTGAAACAAACACAAACATTGACCTTCAGGTTTGGTTTGAGTTTTCATTCAAATGAACTCCCATGCCTCTTTTTAAAACGAGAACTTTCAGATCAATCGTAATCTTGAGATGGGATACAATCTCCATATTTGACTTGTTGCATTCCATGTGTTGTACCTGGTATTCTATGAGTAGCTGTCCCTCACACTCCATAATTTCGGCCTTCTGTACCCCACATTATTTTTTCAATATCAATGCTTATCAGATACATTATTGCCCCCCTTCCCCCAAGTTATGGCTTTCATTTACTGTATGCCCATTTGTTGTTGTTCTTGGTTGTGGTCTTGTTGAAGGGCATCCTTATTCGTGCATATATTAGTGTGTTGAGAATATAATGAATGTTGCTTTTTACTGTAAGTGTAGGATCTAATTTGAATGGTCTTAAATTCCACTACTCAATACAGAGGTACGTTATTCTCTGTGTAGGCTGACCTCCTCCCCTGTTTCCATGAGTTAGTTTTGTCTCATGTCTGACCTGAAAATTGCGGTTCTAAATGTAAGAATGTTTTCAGAATCACACAAGGCAGATCAGATTAATAAATATTCTTTAAACAACCTGTGGTATTCTCATGGGGTGGTGGTGGACTGTGTCTACTCTTTACTCATTCTTATATTGTGTAAATACAACAAAGGTTGTGGTAGTTCCAGTCTAATTAGCATAGATTCAGGTGGGTGGCTGTGTTGGTCTAAAACAGCAGAACAGAACAAAGTTTGAGTCCAGAGGAATCTTTAAGACCAGCAAAGTTTTATTCAAGGTACAAGCTTTCATGTGCTGGCACACATATGTATCTGAAGAAGTGTGCCTGCACACTTGTATGTATAGGGCACAAGATTCTAGTCCTGAATCTACTTTGTACTTCTTGTGCCCTTGTAAAAGAGTAGGTTTATTATGCTATTAACTACATGCTCTATGAATATGACATAGTGTTTTTTTACAACTAACATTCCCTTATGAATTGTATCTAAAACTAGTTCTATAATAAAATTGTGTGTTCTCTGCTCCTTATCCTCTTAATAGTGATATGAAGTGGGTCATGAGATCTGAGTTCATCCAGTGATCTGGTAGTGTATTGGCGAGTAGACGGGTTTGCTACTGTTTCTGCTACATTATTAAGTTTCCCTCACTGA